GCGCCGCCCCTCGGCCAGCCATGTTGTGGAGGACGTGTGGGGCCCGGCAGCCAGGATCGGGCTGTCCTCCCAGCTCAGGCCTTGAGGACTGGCCACCAGCCTCCCAGCACTGCCCAGAGCTCAGGTGCTCAGCCACCAGCATCACGGCAGCAGCTCTAACTGCCCAGGCCTCAGGCCTCCGTCTCTGTCCTAACACCTTGTACCTCAGGGCCTTCTGGAGCCAGCAGTTCTTACCAGGGTGGTGGGGGCAGGACACCGGGTGGGGGCATCTCCTGCTCCACGTGTGCGTCCTGCCTCGGGCACTGGAAGGGAAGCTTGACTTCATCAAAACTGCTTGCCACGGCCTCTGGCCTCCACAGCTTAAAAGCCCAGAGGAATATGGCTCTGGGCGGGGGTGGGGTGGGGGGGGTGGGCTGTCCCGAGTGGGCGTGCGTCCAGCGTAACGGACGCCAGTGCCGTGGGTTTTCGCAGGTGCACGTGGGTGGGACCGGGACGGGCTTCCGGGCGCCTCCACTGTGGCCGGTTGCAGCATTGGGGGCGGGCAGGGACTGGGCGTCAGCGTGCGGAGAGCGAGTCGGAGGCGGGACTTGGGCCGCAGGGCTGAGTCTGAGGACGGATTCTAGCAGGTGCCCTCGAGTCCCCTGGGCCTTGGGGTCAGTGGGCATTCCCATGGCCGTTCCCTCACAGTGATGTGCAGCCCCCACTGTGCACCTGAGGATTGGGCAGCCTTCCTGCTCCGAGCGAGGGTGGCACCTACGGTGCCCGCTCATGTGACCCTGTCTGTCCTTGCAGGTGTGGCCGACGAGGACGCCTTCCGGGAGGCCTGCCAGCTCCGAGGCCAGCATGCGCTGCCCGAGCAGCCCGCCAGCACCAGCGCCCGCCCTCTGAGGTCGCACAGGCCCACTCCACTACCCAAGCATGAGGACGAGGACGACCCGGGCCGCCATCGGGCCGCCAGCCACTGGGACCCCTCCGCCTTCTCAGCAGGTGTGCGGAGGGAAACTGAGGCAGAGCGCCCCCCCAAGGACGCGCCCCGTCCTGCCCAAGGCCAGCGAGGACAGAAGTCACTGCTGTGCTGTGTCCTCACCTGATGGGCAGGGTGGGCAGGTGCGGCTGACCTGGCAGGTAGGGGAGGCGCCTTCCGGAGACCCCACAATTAAAATGGGGTGCCACCTTCTGTATGAAGTGTGTTGTCTCGGCACAGATGCCGATGCCACAGTCACCAGGTGCTGCTTTTACCCTAAGTGCTCCTTTTGTAACTGAGGTCTCGGGATTTGGACGGACTGGCCCCCAGGCAGTGCTGTCTCAGCCTACCTGCCCCTGTGTTTGGTTAAATACAAAGTAACACAGGCCGCCTGGGGGCTCTGTCAGGTTGGGTGGTGCCAAGCCACGCTGCTCCCTGGGGGCCTGGTGGCCTCAACGGCCTCCTCCTGGTGCTGCCCTTTCCTGCTCCCAGGCCTGTGGTCTGTCTCATATTCTGGGGGGTCTGTCCCAGGTCCGGGGGGGGGGGCTGTCCCAGGTTCCGGGGGGGCTGTCCCAGGTTCCAGGAGGTCTGTCCCAGGTCCTGGGCGGGCTGTTCCAGGTTCTGGGGGTCTCTGAGGGTGCATCCATCCTTGCCGGTTTGGCCCCTGGAGCTGCAGGCTGTGTGGGAGGAAAAGGCTCACCCTTGGTCCTCTGTGCCCCACAGCGGCATGAGGTTAACTCCGTGGACCTAGGGCCGAACTGTTATCTCAGAAATAAGTTCATCTCCCAGAGCTTTCTATCGAAATCTGTCCCTGGAGTCCTTCTGGGTGTCTGTTCAGGCAGAAAGAAGTGTCCCATCCGCGCCCCCCACCCCCCTGCATGGAACCCCACTCCTGGGACCGACCATGCCAACAACGCCGTCGGCCACTGGGGAGGAGCCTCTGTGGGTAACGGAAAGGGGCAGTTGGAAGAGCCGAGTGACCAGGAAGGACCCTTTGGCCTTGAATGGACATTCGCCAGGATTCCCTGTTCCTCCTGGAGGTGAGGGTCTGGCGGCTAGGGAAGGAACCCTGACGTTGGGGGCCTCGGCCAGGGCAGGGCTGCAGGCTCCATTTCCCGGGACGAGCGTCGCTTGACAGTGATTTAATGGGCGCGTCGTCTGATTGGAGGGACACCTCAGCCCCCTGGGTCAGATGTCCCAGTTCCTGGGAGGGAGGCGTGTGGTCCGGCCAGTCTCCCAGGACAGGGCTACCGCCCACTGGCCGGGCCGAAGCCGCATCCGAGCTCAGCACCAGGCCCTGCGTCCCAGATGTGCCTGTGGAGTGGAAGGTACTTTGTCACGTGCCAGAGAACCCGGGAACGCCAGCATTAGCAGAAGACACGGAGTCATTCTCTCTGAAACCACGTGCCTCTGTCAGTTTCTACCACTGGGTCCCTATCGGTCCCGCGATGGAGTGGGGACACTTCATTGTGAGCGCCGGCACGAGTCCTCGTCTGTGGCTGCGGGGGTGGCGCCTGCCTTGGCCGGAGCCCCCTGGACTCTGTGGGAACCCAGCCTACCTGGGAGCATTTCTGAATGTTGGAGTCAAACATTTGTTGTTTCCTTTTTAAAAATCAATTTATGAGACCTTGAGAAGACTGAGTGGCGTCACATGGAATTAAAGGCGTGATTCTCCCACAAACATGCAGCGAGCTCACGTCACGGAGGGCGGAAGTGCCCTGGAGGAGGATGCAAGAAGGGGCAGCGAGGAAATCTGAGCCGCTGCTGCCTGGGCAGCTGCTCCCTCTGCAGCATCCACGGCTGGCCCCCCTCCTGTGGCCACAGGGCCCCCTTCATGCTGGCCCCTCACTAAGCTGGCCTTGCGGCTCCGGGCCTTGTGGCATCTCCTGGTCATCGTCTCGCCATATTCCAAGTCCTGAGTAACTTTCCTTTAAAAGAAGCACATGGAAGGGACCTGGTTACCCGGGACATAGGTGCCCTGGGGTTGGAGGACAGTGCCACCTGGAGGCAGTGGCAGCTTCTGCAAGTGGCTCATTTAGATGAAAACTAATGAGACGCTCCCCAAGCTGGGAACTCAGTGCTGAAGTGACAGGTCCCACAGTCGCAGCTCACGTATGGGCGCAGGATGCACGAAGGGGCCTGGCGGTCGGTGGGGTGACTTTAGCCCTGGCCCTGGCTCTGGGCCACCAGGCCTTGGCACGGGCAGCAGGGGGAAGGGAGGCGGCTTCAGTTGCTGGCATTTGGCTTTTTTTTTTTTTTTAAATATTTTTATTGATTTCAGAGAGGAAGGGAGAGGGGGAGAGAGAGTGAGAGAGAAACATCCATGATGAGAGAGAATCATCGATCGTCTGCATCCTGCACACCCCACACTGGGGTTTGAGCCTGCAACCTGGGCATGTGCCCTCGACCGGAATCAAACCTGGGACCGACGCTCTATCCCAGTGGTTCTCAACCTTCCTAATGCCGCGACCCTTTAATACAGTTCCTCATGTTGTGGTGACCCCCAATTTCATTGTTACAAATTGAACATAATTAAAGCATAGTGATTAACCACAAAAACAATATGTAATTATATATGTGTTTTCCGATGGTCTTAGGCGACCCCTGTGAAAGGGTTGTTTGACCTCCAAAGGGGTCGCGACCCACAGGTTGAGAACCGCTGCTATCCACTGAGCCAAACCAGCGAAGGCGCATTTGGCTTCTTAACATGCATTGCCTTCCACTCTAACCCGTAAAGCTTGCCGACTCACTTCTGACGTCACGCCCGCGTGTCCTTGCACAGCCCAGGAACCAGCACGTGGCCAGAGACTGAGGGGTCGGGCTTTTGCGTGAGTCACGCTCCCACAGGTGAGGCCACTGGGAAGGACATCAGAATTCCTGCACAGGGAGCACTCAGGCACGAGGGGCCTCCACCCTTAACTCTTGTTAAAAACTTTTAAATTTATGTTTAGAGAGAGGAAGGGAGAAAGCGAGTGAGAGAAATGTTGACTGGTTGCCTCCTACACGCACCCCAACTGGGAATCGAATCCACAACCTGGGACGACACTCCAACCGACTGAGCCACCGACTGAGCCACTGGCCAGGATGGCCCTTCACTCTGCACTGGGCCCTGCAGACGCGCCCTGGCTGCGGGCTAAAGGCTTGGGCTGGGGTGGGGCAGGTCTGCGGGAGGCGGGGAGCTTGTCTGGCAGTGAAACTGACTTGCTCGCCTGCGCTTCTCCGTGAGGCTCACAGCTACTCTTTCCCAGGCCCCTCCACGTGTCCCCTCGAAATCGCTGGCAGGGCGGCCCTGGGGGGCAGGACGGCCCACTTCTTATTGCTTTGTTTTGTTTTAAATTAATGTAAACATTGAGCATTTTCAGGAAATAGCAGAGGAGTTGTTTTACAAGGAACCTGAGGGCGCGCCCTCACTCACCTGCACAGTGCTTCCTTCCAGTCCGGACTCCGCGTCAGGAAGGGCTGTGGGTGGAGCTGCAGGGCCAGGCTGGGTGAGGTGCGAGGCCGAGGGCATGGGAGGTGGTGGCGGGATCTGAGTGTCCACATGCCTCGAGCCCAGAGGCCAACCCTCCCCCCACCCGTTGTGGCGGAGCTGGTGCTCAGCGGCCTGCGCCCATCACCAGCTTGTTTGCTGTGCTCCCCTGGATTTGAATCCTTTGACCCAAATGTGGTTGCGGGTCTGGCCTGTTGGAATCAGAGGAGGACCGTTCCCATCACACATCCATTTCCTTACACAATTAAAACCATCTTTTTAATTAATCCTCACCTGAGGAAATTTCTTCCATTGATTTTTAGAGAGAGGGAAGCAAGCGGGGGTGGGGTGGGGTGGGGTGGGGGGGTAGGGGGGAAGAGAGAGAGAGAGAGAGAGAGAGAGAGAGAGAGAGAGAGGAAACATCGATTGGCTGCCTCCTGACCAGGGCCGGCAATGGAACCTGCAACCCAGGTACGTGCCCTTGACCAGGAATCAAACCCAGGACCTTCAGTCTGCTGGCCAGTGCTCTATCCACTGAGCCAAACCCGCAGGTCTCTTTACACGATTTTGAAGAAATTTCCCAACCAGCCCACGGGTCTGCGTCTGCCCAGCTCCTGGGCTGCGGGGCTCTGATGGGCCCCAGATGCAGAGCGGGCACCTCCCAGAGAGGCATGCGGGGTGTGTGTGTGGCTGTGCCAATCAAACACGCACCATCTCTCGTTAAATCCCTTGTGAGGCCAAGGTAATTTTCCTGTGCTCTTTATTCTTTTAAAATATATTTGTATTGATTTCAGAGAGGGAGAGAGATGGAAACATCAATGATGAGATGGAATCATTGTTCGGTTGCCTCCTGCACACCCCCTACTGGGAATCGAGCCACAACCCGGGCATGTGCCCTGATCGGAATCGAACCGTGACCTCCTGGTTCCTAGGTCGTTGTGTAACCACTGAGCTACCCCAGCCAGGTTTCCTGTGCTCTTAAACTTAGAAATGCATGTTTGATAAGAATGGGAGTGAGGAGTCCTTCCCCTTTTCCTCACGTTGGTGGGTGTCCGGCCCCCCAGAGTCGCAGGCCTCCCTGCCCCTCTCACTGTGACCCAGGTGGGCCCTCCGCGGCCGCCTCCCGCCACCTCCTCCCACTCCCTGCAATCACGTTGGGGGACACACCGCAGGCTCCGTGGCTCTGGTCCCACGTTTCTCCTCGGAGGCCGTTGTCTCCCTCTGTCAGGTCCACTGCCAGGGCCCAGGCCCGTGTCCCCACAGCTGGCCCTGCTAGCAGGGGCGCCCGCCCTCACTTCGGGTGCTGCGGCCTCTGCAAATGTCGCAGACCTCCTGCCAGGTGGTGAGGGCAGAGGCAGCGGCCGGCTTTTGGGCCCTCGGAGGGGAGGCGGAGTGACTGGGCCTCTGAGTTGCTGGTGAAGGCGGCAACGGCCACGAATGCCACCGCCGAGAACCCGGGGGCCGGAGCCTTGTGTGTGTGCACCATGCAGTGAGAGCCTCGGCTTCCACCGGCAGCCGGGCACTGGGGCAGGAGTCGGCGCGGCTGCATCACGGGGCTGTCTGTGGGGACCCACCCACGGGGTTGTGACACCTGCTAGTGTCATTTGAGCTGTGTCCCCAGAGTGGGTGGCTGAGTCAGGACTGGAGACGGCTGTGGAACGTCGCCGGTAACAGGTTCTTAAGGGTGCGCTCAGGTGGCCTTTTCCACAGGCCTCGGGCCACAGGGGGCCTGGCCTGGCTCGTGTCTGCAGAACTGCTGAGGGCAGAGGCCTTGTGTGGCTCGGACAGGGGCCAGGGGGTCTCCTTGCCTCTGTCCTTCGGGTGCCACCACCGGGATGGAAGGGGGCGCTGGTCCCCACCCAGGCAGGGCCTCCCGCAGCGCAGACTCTGGTGGGGGAAGCGGGGATGCCAGGGGACGGGCTGTGACCTGCCAGGTGGGCCCCGGACGGCGGCCGTGGTGGTAAAGCCAAGAGCCTTTTGTTGAGCTTTAGGTGTGGGCCATGGGCACGTGAGGAGGCGTGGCTTTCCGGTGTCATGTGTGCTGTTAACCTGGGGACAGTTGAACGTGGTTGGGTCCGGGGGGTGGGGGAGACCAGCTGCCGCACACAGTGTTTCACAAGCCGTGTTTCCTTAGGACTCAAAGAAGGTGGCAAGAGGAAGAAGCAGAAGCACAGAGACGAGTCCAAGAAGAAGAAGTCGACCAAGGGGCAGCACTAGAGCGCCGGCCGTGGCGGCGTCGCGCTGTGTGGTGTGTGCACGCGATAGGTAGGGCGCCTGCTCCCCGCCCCGTCACCTCCTCACCCCGGGACGCGGACGGGCGGCCAGTCAGGCGGCGGGTGATGAGCGGGCGGTGGCGTGAGCGCCCGCCCTGGCCGCAGCCCAGCACTAAGATAGCGATTCCTGGGCAGCGGTCGGGGCTCTCGCTTGTTCTTGACGGTGCGGCCTCCATGTGAACCCCTGAGGCAGCGCTAGCTTTAGGGGCGTGACAGGTAGACAGGCAGCGGGTGGCTCCTCGTGGGGCCGGCGTTGGGAATCGGAGGGTAGTGAGTGTGGGCGACTCCAGGTCACACACGTCACACCTGAGCGGGGCCGCAGGTGCTGCCTGCTGTCCCGGGGTCAGACCTCAGCACCTGTCGTGGCCCCGTCCCTGTTGGCCACGTCATTGAGCTTGTAAACCTGACCCTCCGAGTAGAACCGGCCGATGTCAAGTGTGCTGTGATTAGTGCTAGTCCTTCCTTTCTTCCCGACCCATCACCGTTCCCCGAAGCTCGTGCAGGGGACGCTACAGAGCTTTGCTCCGTAAACAGCCCGGCTCCGAGTTGAGGGTGCGAGGAAGCAGACGGCTGCCTGGCATGCGGGCGCCAGCAGGCACGAGCTCGAGTTTCGTCTGTGGACACTGCCCTCCTGTGTGGCCAGCCTCGCCTCTGTGCTTTCTCTGCACCACCCGCTGCCTAACGCTTTGCTCCCCGGCTGCGGTCGGGGGCGCCCAGCTGCCCCCTGTGGCGACGACACCTCCGCTAACACCAGAGCCTGCTGCCCACCCGCCTTTTCCTCGCCCTCGTGGAAACAAGGGAATTGTGAGAAGTGTGGATGTGATGTAAAAATGCCAGCAACTCAAACCCACGGCGTGGAGCCGGCGACTTGGGCTTGGCCTGTGCCGCCGTCTGGTGCGGCGTGTGGTTTGATATGGCGGCCACAGGGCGCTGCTCCTGTGTGGGTGGGGGCGCGGCTGCGGGCGGGGCCGGGTGTGCTTGTGGGAATGGCCAGCATGGTGACCTGACCTGGGCGCCACCGCGGAAATAAAGTTGTGAGCACCACCCGGCTCCGGCCTCCTTCACCGCCTCAGCCCGCATGGTCTCGGCCGTGTGCCGTCTCAGTTCCAGGGGTGGATGTTTTGGGGCAAAAGGCTGGATTCTGAGGTAACGCCCCGTTGAACAGTGTGAGGCCAGCAGCCTCCTGGGACACGGGCCGGTGCAGGGACATGCCTCCGAGTGTCCTGGCCGTGGCCCGTTGGCTGCATCCTGAGGCCCGGGCCTCGCTGTGAGGGGGTGGCACATGCAGGTCCAGGTGGGTCTGTCCTGAGTGGGACTCGCCCTGTCACTCGGGGGCCTCTTGGGGGCAGCGGGAGGGAAGGTTTCATGGCACTTGTCCCTCACTGTCCCTGGGGGCCGGTCACCCTGGAGCAGTGTCGGGGGTGGTGTCGGCCGTGAGTGCTTCAAGCCCCGACATGACAAGTGTTGGTGCAGCCGTGGGGCCTCACTGCCCACCACGGGGCTGGCTCAGTGAGCTGGAGAGGCCCAGGGCCACTCGGTGGGTCCACTCCCAGGTGAGCAGGGCGCAGCCACACCTGCCGGGCTTAGGTGGGCACCGCGGGGTTCGCTGTGCTGCCCCCTACCTCCCGCTTGGGGGTCACCTCTGGGGACAGAGCTTTTGGCCTGTGTTAGGAGGATTAAGGCTGCCAAACCCTCCAACCATACTTGTGAAGTGCACACATGTTCACAGGAAGTTGCACAAACAGTCCTCTTAGAGATCCCTGTATCCTCCCCCCGGGGCCCCTCAAAACCAGGACACGGGAAACCTTCAAACATCGTTCGTAGCCTGGAGACGGTGGGGCCGTGACAGGGGCGAGCGGTCACACCTGATCTTCTTTTCGCCAAAATGAGGTTCTGGTGGGTGGGATCTAAGTTCATGTGTCACCCCTGGTCGGGCGGGCTTGCCCAGGGCAGACCTTCCCCACACCTGCCGGCGGGCCCTCCACCTCCGCCCCACCTGGCTCTGCCCACAGGAGCACACAGGACCGGGCTCTCATGGGCCATTTGGCCTATAGCTGACCAGCGGCTCAGCGAGCATTGCCTGCCATGCTGGCCCGACTCCAGTCTGCAACGGTCAACGCAGAGCGGGCACGATGCCTTCTGGGCGTCTGCCCCCTGCCCGGGGCTGTCAGGACAGTCAGCGAGGGGTGTGTCCGCCCCGCCTCCGCGCTCGCCCTGGGGTGGGAAAGTCTCATGGGCACCGTGTGCGGACGGAGGGCCTGCATGGTCCCCGGGCTCCATCCTGCCGGCTCCGTGAGGCCCCTCCCTTGGACAGCTGGCTGGTGGAGCCCAGGCCCGAAGGCTCAGGATTCTACCCGGACGTCCAGGCTGCCAGCTTCCGCCTTGAGGGTTTGCCGAGAGGGCTTTCCCAGAACTTGCCACCGTCCATAGGCAGCCAGGTCCCTGGGGGACTCTTCCCGGATCAGAGCGCCCCTGAGAGCCAGGTGACAGGCCAGCATGGCCTCCTGTCAGCTGGAAGGGCCTCCTCCTGTTGCCAGGTCAGGTGAGAGCCAGAGCCATGGCTGCGCCCGGCAGCGGGCGCCCCGTGTGTGCTGGCACCTTCGCCCCCCAACCACACACGGTGGCTGCTCAGGTCATTTCTTCTGAAGAAAAGAGTGACAAGAATTGCATGACTGGCCTCGTGGGGGGAAGAGGTGTGGGCAGGTCCCCGCTCCCAGCCTGTGCACGGGCTCACCATGCGTTAAGCTGTGCCTGGGCGGGGGGAGGGGGGCGTAAATACACCAGACAGACCCAGTGTGTGCTTCAGGGACATGACGCACATCCGTCCCCACCGCCTCCTGGGCATTCTTGGCCCTGAGGTGGCTGAGGAGGTGGGGACAAGAGCAGGAGTGGATGTGGGGGGTGTCAGCCACCAGGCACGTCACCCAGCGTGCCCAGCCTCCGTGGTTCAGCCCTCATCCTCCCTGTCCCTCCAGCCCTCACAGGTCCCCCTGGAACTGGCCATCCACAGAGGGTCCCCTGGGGAAGGCCTATCCTGGCCTCTGGTGCCGGTGCTCCTGACGCCCGCAAGGGCCTCGGCGGGCACGGTGACCTCACACTGCGGCAGCGGTGACGGCCTCTCTGCCCCTGGGCGCCCAGGCTCTCTTCAGTGCATTCATTCTCAGTGAACAAATGAAATCCAGTTTTTATGTCATAAAAGTTGTTTCACGAGGAGCCATCGTACAGTGAGTGGCCCAGGTGGCTCCGATGATGGCCCCATAACCCTTCCCGCCCGAGAAAGTGGCCTGGGTGCACTGGGGGTCAGGGCAGGCTGCGCCCCAAGTCCACCGCCCACACTTCAGAAACACTGCCTGTCCCGGGCACATGCTGGGTCCTTTGCCCAGGGACACCACTGACACCCTGTCCTTCAGCCCAGGGGGCGGGCAGAGCAGGGGAGCAGGGGCTTCTGTGGGCACGTGGGGCTCGGGCGGCTTGGGCGGTGCTGTGACCACGGCTGTGTCCAAGACCGGCCGTGTCAACTGTCCTTTCACAGTTGAGAACATGGGCCCTGGGCCACATGTATGTTCCCCAAGCCTCAGTGTGAAGTGGGGTGCAAGCTCCGCCCCCACCCACCTGGCCCTGCAGTCACATAGGCCTCAGACCTGGTGCCCGCACGAGGCTGGTGAACCCTACACACCGCCTGCTTCAGGCCGCGCCCCCCAAGGTCCCGGGCGCCTGGAGTCCTGCCCGCCCACCCTCCTTCGCAACGGCTCCTGCTGGTTTTCTTCGTTGTTAATCTTCACCCGAGGATATTTTTTCCTTTTCCTTTCATTTTTATTATTTTTAAAAAGATATATTTGTATTGATTTCAGAGGAAGGGAGAGAGAGAGAGAGAGAAACATCAATGATGAGAGAGAACCATTGCTTGGCTGCCTCCTGCACGCCCCACACTGGGGATCGAGCTGACAACCCAGGCATATGCCCTGACTGGAATTGAACCTGGAACCCTGCAGTCCATAGGCTGATGCTCTATCCACTGAGCCAAACCAGCTAGGGCCCATAGATTTTTAGAGAATGGAAGGGAGGGAGTGGGGGAGGGAGAGAGAAACATTGATGTGAGAGACACACCTATTGGTTGCCTCCCGCATGTGCCCCGACCGGGGCCAGGGATTGAGCATGCAACCCAGGTATGAGACCCTTTGGTTCGCAGGCCACTGAGCACCGGCCAGGGTGGCTCCTGCTGGTTTTGGGTTTGTCTCATTTCAGTGTTTATGAGCATGTTATACATGTGAATAAACGCACTAAGCGGTTGCAGACATGATAGTTATGACGGTGACATTTAAATGACCCTGTGCCACCCCACGCCGAGTCTCCCGTGCTAACTGGGTGTGGGAGAAGGTGCGCAGCCCGGAAGGTCTGGCGTTCCGTCGCCCTCTCTTCTGTGTCCCAGGAACATGGCGTTTCAGACCATCGTGCGTCCCCATGTTTGTTGCGAGGTTTGCCTTGTCAGCGTCCACACCCAGTGTCCATGGCCTCCTAACGCCACAGGCGACCTGTCAGGTGATAGGTGACCCATAGGCAACAGTGACCCTACAGGCAACGGTGACACTACAGGTGGCAGGTGACCCTACAGATGAGGGGTGACCCTACAGGCAATGGTGACCTTACAGGTGACAGGTGACCTGATAGGTGACAGGTCACCCATCAGGTGGCAGTGACTCTACAGGCAACAGGTGACCCCACAGGCGACAGGTGACCCTAAAGGTGACGGTGACCCTACCGGCTTTGGGAAGACATAGTGGCCACCAGTCCTGAAGCAGCAACTGCCTCCTGCAAGGGCGTGGGGCACTGGGACGTCACCTCACTGTCTCCACTTCCCTTGCCCACGTTCCAGGGGCCTGCTGTGTCACCCTGTGGTCTCTAGCCTGGGGGGCTTTCTTGGGGTCATCCTGTCCCTCGCCACGTCCTCCTCTGCTCACCCACACAGAGCACACACCGGCCTTGTCTGACCCAGTACCATGCCCAGTTCCCCTGCTGGGCTCCCCTCCCACTCCACCCCAACCCCCTTCCCGGCTGGAGTGGCTCAGTGGTTGATCGTTGACCTAGGAACCAAGAGGTAATGGCTTCCTGGTCAGGGCACATGTCAGGTTGTGGGCTTGATCCCCAGTGGGGGCGCAGGAGACAGCCCATCAATGATTCTCCCATCCTTGGTGTTTCTATCTCTCCCTCTCTGAAATCAATAAAAATATTAAAAATAAAGACAAAATAAAATACTGCACCCTGGCCCCGGGCACAGCTGGTCTCTGCGGGGACCCTTCGCCCACAGGGACGCTCCCCATGGTGGCTGCTGCGGAGGCTGCACACACCCACAGGCGAGTGCGATGACCCTCTTCCACCTGCTTCCCCTGGGAAGAAGCGCCCCCGCCTGCCGGGGGTTTGATTATGAAGAAGGGGTTCGCAGCCTCTGTGCCACATCAAAGGCAGAGGTTAACCTGGAGCTGGAGCCGCTGGTCACTGGCTGGGCCGTGGCCCCGTGTCCAGGGTGGACGCAGGTTGTCGGCAGGGGTGATGGTCAGTGCGGAGAAGCAGCCGTGGGCTGCCCGTCACCTGATGGGTCACTCATCACCTGCCAGGTCGCCCTTGGTGTCAGGACCCATGGACACCAGGCACAGGTCCTGCCAATGTGCCCCTTCTTGGCCCTCACCCCCCACCGGGCCTCAGGGAGCACCCGGTATGCTGAGCGTGAGCCTGGGAGAAGGCAGCACCTCACTAACCCCCGGGCAGACAGACAGTCCGTCCTCAGTGCCGCCTGGCAGGACACTGCAGAGAAGGGGCCCCCGAGAGCAGAGTAGACGGGGGGCAAAAGCAGGGCGGCACCTTGGTCTGTCTTTGACTCAGGACAAGCCTGTGTGTGGGACTTGCTACTGTGCCCAGGCGCCTGCACAGGGACCCTGCTCTCAGGAGTCTGGCCAGAATGGGGTTTCTGTGCCTTAGTATTTTGGTGTCCCAACTTTTCAAACCCCAAATAAAATATTTTCTGAAAAATTTCCATAACATGAACATGG